ACTATTAGTCAAAAATGATTTGACGGTACCTAACAACAACAGCTAAAATGTTTGTCCTTTGCTCCCTAGAAAGCCCCTTCTACCCTCATTCAAAGCATAGTCTCAATAAATGTATACATACTTCTAACAAAGTAAATAATCTTGTTTGCAGAGTTAAAGCGCATTAGTGGCAGAGGACTAGAAAGTACTATTCTGAGTAGATGTACAAACAGAAAATGAACCACCACTGATCATAGCAACCCTATAGGGGTCGACCTGCCCCTGTGGGTTTCTGAGGCCACATTTCTTCATGGGTGCAGAAAGCCTCCTCTTTCTTATGTAGAGAGGCTTGCAGTTAGCAGTCCAATTTGTAACCCTCTATGCCACCAAGGTGCCTTCAGGTAGTGTGGGTAGACATACAGATGACCTAAATACTAACCAAACCGCCCCCAATAATAACCAAATAATCATGGATGAGTCCACCTGCTTGAAACGCTACACAAGGTCTGTGACTCACAATCAGCGGAATGGCAATGACTTTGGTTGGTTTTCTCGTCCATCGATGAGCCCTGCTAGCACATTGGTTACACACGTGGCTTCCAACCAAAGGTTGGATGTTGAAAACCACTCAATGGCTCCGCAGGAGAATGATGTCATGATCTGCTACAGTAAAGATAGCATCCCAGAGACTCTACAAGGCAGCTGCACTCTGTCGCATGAAGTCTCTGTGATCAATTCAGTGGCAACCAAGAGGAATAGAAGAACCGGAGGAAATCATGCTAAGCGAAGTAAGCCAAGCACAAAAGGACAAGTACAACATGAGTCCGCTGAGGTAAGCTTTAAAAAAAAAATGCAAAAGGGGCATAGGGAAAAAGATTCTGTATACAAACACTCCTGGAATGAAGTCCAGGTAGTATGGCAGGGGCCAGACCAAACCCAGGGATACATATGGTAGCCAACGAAAAAGGAGGGGGGGAAAAAAGATTTTTTTTAAAATTGGCCATAACTTGTAATGATCCACACAGTGGAATGCTTTTGCATAGTGAATAAAACACAGATAAACATCTAAAAAAAAGTTGTACAAATCCCCAATAAAATTATTTTTTTTTAAAAACCGCGTTCTTACCTGTCAGACATTTCCCCTATGTATGCCCCTCTTTCAATTCTCATAGTGAAGCTTTGTCTTTATTCTTCCTTAATCCATCGAATCAATGTGGATGGATTAACTAACTTGCACTGTTGACTCCGTCTTCCCATCAAAACTCTACCCTAGTGGTTTCCCTCAGGTTTCTTTCTCCTGGTACTTTTCTATTCATCAGTGACTTTCACTCACTGCCTTCTCTTGCTCTGCCATCCCTTGAAAACGGTTTCCTTCCATCCCTGAGTGATACAGCCCTTACAACATGTGCCCTTCAGTGTTGGACGACTTACTTCACTCAACGTAATCCTTTTGACTTTCAGCCATATTGGCTCATGCATTAGTCACTCATTTTCAGCTACTCACCAGTTGAATTGCATGTTAGAAGGGCTTCCAATTCCACTCCACTCCACACACAGTGGAGAATCATTAAGAAGGGGAGGAGGTTATATGTAGAAAAGTGGGTGAAGGGAGACATCAGACAGTGTAAGATATGACAAAATAATCATTTATAAATTATCAAGGGTTCATGAGGGAGGGGGGAGAAGGGAGGGCGGGGGGAATGAGCTGATACCAAGGGCTCACGTAGAAAGCAAATGTTTTGAGAATGAGGGCAACACATGTACAAATGCACTTGGCACACAATGGATGGATAGATGGATTGTGATAAGAGTTGTACGAGCCTCCAATAAAATGATTTTTTTTTAGTCAATCACGGGGGAAAAAAAAAAAAGGTTGGGGGAGGAGTAGAGTATGTGAGTGAGGCACGTGACTACCTAGGATTGGAACATCTCAACCAAAAGGGCCAGGCTGGCTGCCAGGGCCAGTGTGACTACAGCAGGGCAGTCGAGGGTGAGGTCAAGGGGAAGCCAAATTACTCTGGGCGTAATAGGCGATGTGGCTGTGTGTTGGGCTGTGATCCGCACGGTCAGCACTTAAAACCACCAGCAGCTTGGGAGGGAGAAAGGCTGGGCTTTCAGTTACAGTCTCAGCGACCCCCAGGGTGTCACTGCGTCAGCATGGCCTTGATGGCAGCGAGTGCGTTATTTGGTTGCAGAACAGACAGCGGAAACCAAACACCAGTTGCCGTATACCACCGTATACACTCCTCGCGTATAAGGCGACCGGAATCTCAGCCGAGGCTGAGTTTTTTGTTCCCACAAAAACTGCATTAAAAATGTGCTGAAACTGTGTAGCAATGAGGAAACATACAACTTTTCTCTAGTTCCTAAATGTATCTCCACCCCCCACTACCATGATCCCAATACTACCTTACAAATCTGGCTGGACCAGAGGATATACACTGGTATAGATAGCAACTGGAAACACAGGGAATCCAGGGCCGATGATCCCTTCAGGACCAGTGCTGTGTGGTGAAATAGGGAGGGTGGAGGGAAGGTGGGGTAGAAAGGGGGAACCGATTACAAGGATCTACATATAACCCCCTCCCTGGGGGATGGACAACAGAAGAGGGGGTGAAGGGAGACGTCGGACAGGGCAAGATATGACAAAATAATCATTTATAAATTATCAAGGTCCTGTTTCCTTCCGCAGCTGCATGAATGAGGGCTTGTGCTGGACACGCGGCTGATAGCTTTCTGCAGCGGATCTTTCCCTCTGGACTTGAGAGAGGGGCTGCAGGGGAAGAAGGGGTTGGAAGTAATCAAAGATAGGAGCAGTGAGATTCAGCTGGTTCGAGGGGGTTCGGCAGAACTTAGACGTCATATTTTGTGGAGTTCAGCAAATTCGTTAAAATGGCACTTGTAGTCAGTGCTCTCTAAGGCAGCCACCAATGTGGAAATCACAACTTGACATTCCTCTTTTCTAAGAACGCCATCTGTGCACCGGTGTATTTTAAGTGCCCGTAGTAATGGTCGTTCTGTCCAAAGGTTTAAAAAATTAGATGGAGCCATGCTTATCATATTTAGTTATTCATTGAATAAAACTCATACTTTTTATGAAATAAGTTTTTATTCCCTAGCATTTTCCCCCAACAGTATTATTGGAAAGTAATGTACATATCATATAATTCAATAGTTCATTCAATAATATCAAGATTATTTGTACAATCAGCCCCCTCTTCAATTTTATAGTGCACACCCCACCCCATGGTTAAATCTCCTTTCAGATGAGTTAGGCAATCACAGTCCATTCTTGTGCTCCCTCCTCCCTTTTCTTCATTACTGGCTTCAGTATCTGGTCTGCAAGGTTTGTCTACCCACATGTGCCCTCGAAGTGGGCTAACTCACTAGTCTGAGTTCATTGTTGTTCCCTGTAAATTGGGAGAGAATGATGCGTCCCTCGTGGTGATGTTAAAGGGGTCGAATAAAATAATAGATACAGGCAGCTGGCAGGGCGAACAATCAATGTTTTCTAGCAAACTTCTGTTGTCAGTGTTCATCCAGCAGGTTAGTGGCAACCAGGTGCCTCCATCCCAGCTCCTGACTTAGAGGCCGATACCTTTCCATTAGAGAACACAGTTCCAGTGTGAACTATCATTGCCGCCCCCCACCCACCCACCCATAGACTCCTACCACACACGTCTGGCTTTCACTGGTCCCATGGGAATGTGATTGTCTTCAAGGGCATATTAGGTCATCCTGTTGTTCCTTCTTCCCTCACTTTATACACATTAATAATGGTGCTAAAGAGAATGGCAAAGCTGACCTTTGAGAATATGTAATTAATTATAGGCTGATGTCATTGGCATCTTTACCAATCCATTTAGGACTGAGCAAGAACCCCTGGCTCACAGAGGTGTCCTCTCTCTTGATAAGAGGCCATCCCCTTGACAAAATGTTTGGACATGAACAACATTCCCATAAAAGGGAGCCCTGTCCACTGAGGCTAATTCATCATTTCACTAAAGCCAAAGATGAGCTACGTGTGGGTGGGGTGACAAGCAAAGAGCTGCCACGCCATGAGATGAGGGTGTTTGCAGACGATGTGTAACCTCCGTCAGCCTCAAGGTCACCATCACCATTGTAGCAACAAAGAATTAAAAAGTAAAACCACCACAATCTAGATAAATCTCAGAAAACTGTAGGGGCCAGTTTTACTCTGACCCACAGGATCACCGTGAGTCCCTACAGTTCTTAACTCCCAGTAATGGAGATGAGTAATACTATGATGCTGGTGGTGTTGCTGAGGGAGGCGTGGCTACTCTGCCTAGTACCACAGGAAGGTGTGGCTTTGCTGGTGAAGCGTGTGTGGAAACCCATTCCCATCACATTGATTTTGACTCAAGGAGAGCACTCGGGTCCACAGCAGAGCTGATCCATGCAGGGCTCTTGGCTCTCCTGCTTGTGAAGTTTGCCAGCCTTTTCTTCACGGAGCCCCAGGGTGAGTTCAGGAGGGTCGTCAAGCACAAACCATTGACAGTAAGAGAGACCATCACGTTGTTCCAGGCAGCTCTGAGGTCGTCTTGTCAATAGGAGCAGAGACTTGACAGAGAAACCAGCCTGGGGCAGAGTGCAAGCAGAACCAGAGAGAAGGAAACTGGAAAAGGCTGAGCTCTGCCTGCTCAGTTTCTCTTTCCCAACACAAGCGCTGCCCCAGTCCCTGCCCAGAGAGAGGGAGTGGGGTATCAGGAAAAAGGAGGGGCATTCCCCTCATGAGTATTGACTTTTGTATGAGGGACCATCAGGTTTTAGGATGTTTAGGATGGTTGATGTCCTCTTCAACAATTTTAGAATGAAAAGAGGAGTCTCACTGTGTGTGTGTGTGTGTGTGTGTGTGTACTTGCTTATATAGCTCCACCAATGCTCATTGACCAATAGCCACACTTTTCACACTGGAGTCTTACTAATGTTTCACCTTGATAAGGTAACGTTACTGAGAGATCATCACATTTATCTTCAAAGACCACAAATTCTTAAAGCTGTTAAGTGTACAGGTCAGTCACCTGTAAAACCAAAGTGTTTTTAGTGAATAAGCAATTCCACTTCTTTTTCTCTCAAGATTTAGCGTTAGCCTCTATTCAATTTAGTTAATATCTAGATAAGCCAGCAAGTGCCTGCCTTTCTATGATTTGGTTTGGGCTTTGCAATTTTGAGGAAAAAATTTTTGTTGTTGTTTTAGAAAAGCTGGTGGGTTCCAGAACAATCAACAGGAGAGCGAAACTTAGCGGAGCTACAAATTGAGGAGCTGGCGCAGGACCACACAAAAGGAAAGCATTGGTTCTTGATCTTACTCCCAGAAAGAAGTCTGGGTTTTTGTTTGTTTTTTCCCTTTATTTTTGGAATGAAAGAAGATAACCAAAGATATGATAGGATTTCTAGCATCTTAAGTAGAACTCTTAGGAGGATGTATTCCAACAGAAAATCTCATTAGTTTCAATTAAGCAAGCAAGCAAAAAATCCCAAAACAACATAGTGTTACAATGTTAGCTTTGTAGTAAGGGATAATCCTTCATAGAAACACTGTCTCGCTCTTTACACAGCTTCTAAGAAGCATGTGTCGACTAAGTGGACCAGAAAGCAAAGTGCTACATTTTTCAACAGGTTAGAATGTTACTACTGTAGGAGGCGGCTGTTTGAGCTGTAGGGAAATTGGCTTTGACTCAGGACAGCCTCAGGTACAGAACAACATGTTTCCTGGTCTCGTGCCATCATCATGAGTAGTATTATGCTAAAGTGCATTGTGGCAATTGTGTATTTTGAGTTCTCCCAGCACTACATTGACCAATATTGTTTTAATCCACAGGGCTTACATCGGTTAGTTTTTAAAAGTAATTTTTATGTTCTGTGCACCATGGATGACTCTCCTGGTATTTGAAATACTGTTGGCATAACTTCCAACATCATAGAAATATGTAGGCCTACGGCACGGGTAGGGTGGGATGAGAGGTAAGAGGATGATAAAACTTGAATGTATTTGATTTGGATTTTGCTTTACTGGCAACTTTCAAACTAAGCAAACAGTACCTACCCCTCCCTGAATCCCAATACAATTATTGGTAAACGAGTGCAATGATGTCAATGTTTTCAATCAGCAAGTTTTTAAAAATAGTTTTATTGGCATATGATTCACATATCATGTAACTCAATAGTTCAATCACATTAATAAGAGGTGTACAATCATCACCACAATCAGTTTTAGAACATTTTATTCATTCTTGTACTCATCATTAGCTCTCCATTTGCCCCAATCTCATCAGCAACACCCGCAAGGAACATCAATCCAGGTAGTGTCTATAAAGACTAACATCCTGGATTTCATATACATACATTAAAAAAAACACATAATGAAATAAAAGAGAAAAACCTCAATCAAAAATAAAACAGAAAATATTAAAAACTAGAACAAATTTAAAATGGATCATAAGGGAGAGCCAATAATAAGGTGCTATATTTTAACCTAACTGCATCTGAATAATCCACTTTCCAATCCATAATAGCAAAGCTATTCACATCCCTGGTCCATGATCACAGGGAATTCACCAAAAGTTTAACCGTGTGTATTTCACCTTCACTTTTGGGGGGGTCAAAGGGAGATCAAATGATATCACATTTCACCCTAACTCCATCTGCCATAATCAACTTTTCAATGCCCTCTATCTGATCATAAGTCTATTTGCATCCCTCAATTATGATCAGAAGGGATTCACCGGAGGCTTAATCTAAGTGTGGACCCTGCAAACAGATTTTGGGCTTGCATTGTCGCAGCCTTGTGCAAATCAGACCCCTTTGGGGGTCGAAGGACCCTTTCACAGGGGTTGCCTAATTCATAATAGTAGCAAAATGACAGTTTTGAAGCAGCAACGAAAATAATTTTATGGTTGAGGGTCACCACAACATGAGGAACTGTGTTAAAGGGTCACGGCATTAGTCCTGATACATTCCCCTTCTCTCCTTTGGATTTTGATTATATTATTTATAATCCTTGGATCACACCGACTGGTTGCTTCTTCCATGTGGACTTAGTTGATGCCTCATTTAGGTGGCTGCTTGTTTGAAGGCAAGCCTTTAATGGACTAGACACGGCAAGTTTTCAGAGCAAGCGAACCAACACACCAAACGAGGCTTCCAAAGTTGAAAAGGGAAAAAAAAAAAGAGGACTTGCTTTATTTTGTCAAATATTTAACAGGGCTTGAATTCAATTTTGTTATTAAAAAATTGTTGTAGAACATATTGCACTGCTGATTTATTTTGACAAATATTGTACACCTCCTATTTATTTGACAGACTGTATGATAATAGTATTTTACTTCTAATAGGAACTTAAGGTTTCCCCTATTTAATGTCACGCTTAAAATAGGGTGATGGAGTTTTTGAAAGGAAATCATCAACTTCCTTTTGTATTCGGGTACTTCGGTTTGAGATTTATTGTTTCACATTTGGGGTAATTAGCTCTTTACCTTGTTTTGCTTGCAGTTGTCTCTCACCTGGATTTTCGTGTATTCAGGAGGGGCTTTATTTCTACTTGAGTGCGCTCATAGAAAAGGATGCATGGTCCTGGCCCCTATACCTGTCTTACTGTCTAGGACAAATAAACCCGTGAACTAGCCTTGATCACTAAATATACCATATATACTCAAGTATAAGCCCAGAAACCTAATTTTACCACAAGAAACTGGGAGGCTTTTTCAGCATAAAAAAAATGTGCTGAAAAGGCTCGGCTTATACTTGAGTATATAGGTACCTGAAAGTGGGTGGCCTAAATCACAGAAACTTACTGTCTTTCTGTCTGGAGGCTTATAGTTTGACTCCTTCTCAAGGCCTCTATGGAGAAAACATCTTTGTTTCTCTTAGCCCCAGGCAGTCTTTGGCAGGGTGCATGGCATTGCTGAATTACCTCTGGGTTTCTTCTTGTTGCTTATAAGGATACCATTATGATTCCCTTTGGGAGACAATCTTTACCCTATGTGAGCCTCACACAGCTTGGGGTTTCAGTGGCTGGGTCAGTGGAGGCATTTTGGAGACGTGTCAGGAGGTGTCATAAGTGGTATGACTCCCACTTGCATTTCACCCCAGGTCTTAGCCCTGCTGCTGAGTAGGGTTAGCTGGGGAGGGTGATCCCAGAGAAGCAGGAAGGCTGCCAGATTATGTGTATTCTCTTCCTATCTTGTCCCTTCCTGCAAAGAAGCAGCTTATCTCCTGAGTTATCAGCTCCTTGATCTAAGAACACAAACTAGACCAGTTCATTGAACTATTGGCAGAATGTCAAAAAGTAAAGTTTATGTGTTATTGTGAAACACGCACACATACCCTGGCCAATGCCAATGCAGCCTATTAACTCTCTTCGGCCAACAGAAAACATTCCAGTGGTTCTCAACCTTCCTGTTACTGAGACCCTTTGATACAGTTCCTCATGTTGTGATGACCCCCTACCCATAAAATTATTTTCATTACTACTTCATAATTCTAATTTTGCTACTGTTATGAATTGGGAGATCTCTGTGAAAGGGTCCTTTGACCTCCCAAAGGGGTCACAGCCCACAGGTTGAGAACTACTGATTTAAACTCTTCTGTACCAAAGGCAACAATGGAAATGGGAAATTGTAAACTAGAGATGCTTTGCTTCCCCCTACCCCAGGAGAATTAAAACCACAATGTTGGGGGGTTTGGGGGATTTTGTTGTTGTTGTTTGGTAGATTTGTCTACAGATTTGAGCGCCTGGAGCTGACTTCTGGATCTAAGCATTACATGGTGTTCCCTTACTTACCCTTTGGGGAGACGTCCGCATTGTCCAGGAGTCTGTTGGAATTGGAGTGTCCAGCAGCATCTTCTGGGAGCTGATGCCTTGAGCTTCTTCCTCCGGAGTGCAGATCCCAGTCTTTGGCGTCAGGGCGGTCTTTCTGCAGCTGTGCTGGCAGGGACAGGGGTAAGGAGGGTTGGTGTCAAATCTTGATGGTAGCAGAAAGGATATGGGCTTGTCGTCAGTCCTGTGCAGGTGTGGTCGGCTCTCCATGAAGGTGCTGGATCACTGGCAGAAAAGTGTCTGATATTAGAGAGGTTGGGGTATTTATTAAAAATCTAATGTTAGGGACACAATGTAATTGAAAGGGGGATGTGCCTCAGAGGCAGCTTTGTTTGAAGACTTGAGTATAAACGGCGTAACATGATGATGTGGTGGACAGTGCGGACTCATGTTGGCTGTGGGGTGACCAGCTGCACTCCACCTGCTGGAGCATCATCTTGCAGTCTGGGCCTGTGAACTCCCTTCTCCATTGATAACTTTTGGAAGTCGCTCTTCCCGAGTCTTGCTTCCTTTTCCTGCTGGCTGCTCAGAGGACAGACAGTCTCCTCGGACGCTGCCTTTGTTTGGCTGGTGAAAACACTGGCCTTGTCCCGGCAGGTGGCAGCAGCGATGGTGGGGAACATGCAGGACTAAGCCACCACCAACCCTGCCCCTTTGGTGCTTGGTTTGGTAAACGGGGGTTACCTTGAATTGAATGTGTGGACGTTGCCCCTTGTGTGGCTGACAGGAGGTGGGGTGGGGCTGAGTGGCGGATGGTCAGAATGGTGCAGGCATGAACATGAAGTGGTTTATAAATGTTTCTGTTTAGTTTTGTTCAAAAGCAAATACTTCTTGGCTATGCAGCTGCATAGACACAGCCACCCACCCAGCCATCAACAGTAAGTGCACCCAGGGGCTACAGAAGGATACCGGATGACCCTGGGAGAGCCCATATTTACAGCTCTTCCACCAGTCACAGACATGCACATGCACACACATATATCCACCAGCAGGACTGCCACCAGGCACACACGCATACCTAAGA